ATCTTCCTCCTGGCAAGACTGCGATTGGCTGCAAATGGGTTTAACAAATCAAAACAAATTCTGATGGCTCTATTGAACGCTACAAAGCTCGTCTTTGTTGCAAGGGTTTCAACCAAGAAATATGGCATTGATTATGAGGAGACATTCTCTCCTGTTGCTCGCTTACCTCTGTTCGCAGTTTACTTGCTGTTGCTACTGCTCGCCACTGGGGGCTCTTTCAGATGGATATCAAAAATGCTTTCCTCAATGGTCATCTTCTTGAAGAGGTCTACATGCAACCTCCACCTGGGTCCACTTTTCAACCTATCAGGTTTGCAAACTACAGCGTGCTCTTTAGGCCTCAAGCAAGCGCCTCGTGCTTGGTTTGCTAAGTTCAGTTCTACCATTCATGACTTCGGATTCACCTCTAGCTCCTATGACTCTGCTCTTTTTATACGGACTACTTCTCATGGTACTACTCTTCTTCTTCTGTATGTGGATGATATGATTATACTGGTGATGATAAAAGCTGGTATTCTCCACCTCAAACAATTTCTCCACCAACAGTTTGAGATGAAGGACCTTGGTACTCTAACTACTTCTTAGGCCTTGAAAGTCTCTCATGATCTACTGGTTCCTATTTGTCCCAGGCCAAATATCATCCGATCTTCTGGCTCGAGCTGGTCTACTGATTGCAAAACTGCCTCTACTCCGGTTGATCCTCAGATTCGTCTCACTCCTCTCGATGGGACTCTTCTCTCTGATGCTACTCTTTATCGCCAGCTCGTCGGCAGTCTTGTCTATCTCACAGTCACTCGTCCTGACATTGCCTATGCTGTTCAACATTGTCAGTCAGTACATGTCGGCTCCTCGCACTCCCCACTATACTGCTCTACTCCGTATCCTTCGCTATCTCAAAGCACTATGTTCCATGGTCTTCACTTCTCGCTTCTTCCCTCTTGACCTACGTGTTTTTCCGATGCTGATTGGGCTGGGGATCCTACGATCGACGCTTCCACCACGGATTCTGTTTCTTCTTAGGGATTCTCTTCTTGCTGGCGTAGCAAAAAAACAATCCCTCACTGGCCCGCTCTAGCACCGAAGCTGAATACCGAGCTCTTGCTGATACTACTCAGGAACTTCTCTGGCTTCGCTGCTCCTTGCTGATATGGGTGTTTCTTCCTCTGCTCCTACCCCTCTCTACTGTGACAATCAGAGTGCCATTCAGATTGCTCACAATGATGTTTTTCATGATCGCACCAAACATATTGAGATTGATTGTCATTTTATTCGCCAGCATGTCACCTGTGGAACTGTTCATCTCTTCCTATTGCCTCAGTCGATCAACCCGCTGATATCTTCACTAAAGCTCATCCTCCTGGCCGCTTTCATCATCTGTTTCAAACTCAACTTGGTTTGATGCTTTCCCTCCTTGAGTTTGCGGGGGATGTTAGTTATATATTGTATCATGTTAGTGTAGTTATTATGTATAGTGTTAGTTTATTATTGTATACAGGTTAGTGCAGGTTAGTGTATATAAGTGCTATTAGAATATGATAGTTTATTCTTAGTGTAGTCATAATGAATGTTCCCATTTACTTTCTTCTTTCGGGTGCAAATTGGTGGCACCCTATGTAGCTTTCCTCTCTATAAAAGAGAGTGTAAATCTCCTTGTTAATACACACAACAACTGAATAATTCAGTAGCTCTCTCTCTCTCTCTCAATCCTCTAGCACTCTCTCAAATTATTGTTTCAAACGGATTTAAATCACCTGTGGAGAGAGCTACAAATGAGCCGAGTTAAGTTAAGCTTTGTTGAGTTAGAGCTCGACTAGTTTGTTTATCAAGCTCGTTAATCAAAACTGTCCCACTAACTTTCTCAAAATGTATGGATTGATCAATTAAGTTGGGTTAGCGTGACTTCTTTTATTTTTGCAGACTCTTATACTCTCACCTTCATCCTTGTGAAATATAATAATTATTTATTTTATATTATTTTTTTTATATTTCAAACAAATTGTTTATATTATTTAATTTTTTAAACCCGTGCATATCTAGTACACATATAAGAAAGGAAGAATTGAACTGAAATGGGAGGGAAAATAACAGATTTGAATCCTTTGTGGAGATTTGCGTGGGGAGATCGCGTGGAAGTGTTCACTAGGAGGGACACCTCATGGCTAATTTCTTGTGGCTTCCATGGAGCCCCATTGACAAAGGAGGAATCCAGTGGTCCATTGGATTAATAATCCCACCCCTACCTCATTACTAATAATCCTACAAATTTGTTGGATTAATTATCCATTGGATTAATAAACCTAAACCAAAATGTTAAAACAAACATAGGATAATTGAGCCTACGGATTAATAATCTCAATCCCATTAATTGTTAAATTATTATATAATTGTTAATTGAATCTTTAGCTTTAGTATAATTATTAATTGTATAGGTTTATGCTTTCCTTTTTGCTTTCGGTGATAGTGGAGCACTTTGGTATCCAATGTAACCATTCTTCTCTCTATAAAGAGAGAGTTCATTCCTCTTTGAATGTATCACATACAATACAGAAACACATCAATCTTGTATCATCAACAAATCAATCAATAATATACTTCATTTTATTTTACATGGTATCAGAGCTATAGGTTAGCTCTTGGTGATCTTCACCTTCCGGCGGGCGGCGACCTTGCCTTCCCCGCCCGCCGGACCCCGACCTTACCAGTTCAATCATCAACCCCAAGCCTCTCCTATCACTATTGTTCTACCAAACTTTGATTTCTCTCAAAGTTTGATTTCTAACAAACTTTGTTCTACTGCTCAGTCTTCTGATAGATATATATCTATATCTATATTTTTCAAAGCAAAAAAAAAAAAAAAAAAAAAAAAAAAACGTTTCCCTTTGTTTTATGAATCATCTATAGATTTCTTCATCTTCGTCGCCAGCTTCATCTTCATTTTCACCTTGGCGGCATCAGTCAGTTCAATAAGTGTGTCTGAATTTTGCCCAGTAGCAGCATTCACAAGTCCCCCATTGCTTTTAACCCGATATGTTAACTCCTACCCATTAGGCATAGAATCTATATAAACAGTTGAATTTTCATCAATCTCCTTATTCAAAAGCATTCCTGATAATTTAGTGACCACATTCTGCTCCACCCATCTCCTAATAGGTCTCACACCATATTCCTGGAAGCACATATTGTAGCAATTTAATAACCACTGCAGATGGAAGTAATGAAATGTGTATACATTAGAGAAGTCACAATACTTACCGGATCATAACTGTTCAATAATGTAACATACAGTGCTTGTTCAGTCACACATAAGGCAATACCTCTCCTTGCAAGGCGGAATTTCACATCCTTCACCTGAAGCTCGGCAACCTTTATCAATTGATCGTGAGAAAGAGGATCAAATACCACAATCTTATCCAGTCGATTAAGAAACTCGGGCTTGAAGTCTTTCCTCACCTATAATGTGTCAAAACCCAAATTATAGTCTGATTCAAAACACAATTTAGATAATGAAACAAGCAATGTTAAACGATATGCAGCTGTTGAGAGTTACATGGCATTGCTAGTTTACCTCTTGCATTACCAATTCCCGAGCACCCTCCATTGTACAACTGCCCATTGATCCTTTCAAGAGATACTCGGCTCCAAGGTTTGAAGTCATAATGATTATTGTGTTGGTGAAATCAATTGTGCAGCCTGCGCCATCTGTCAACCTTCCATCATCCAAAATTTGAAGAAATGTATTTAAAACAGTGGGGTGTGCTTTCTCAACTTCATCAAATAGTATGACACTATATGGCTGCCTCCTCACAGCTTCTGTGAGTTGCCCACCTTCCTCATGCCCATCATAGCTGAAATCATCAATTACAGCAGTGACTAACATTGTTGCAATCTCATATCTCATAAAGAATAAAGAATAAAGAACAAAGACAAGAGATTTTGAAAATTTAAAAAAACTTCCGAGATATTGATTTGTGATTATGATATAATTTTAAACAATAAATAGTAATCTCAATTAAACAATCAGCAACAAATCGGCACAACTAGTTAGGAAGGGGTTATGGAATACTCCTTCTATCCAAACAAGCCCTTGTAGGATCTTCACAGCTGTCACCTGAAATGGAAATAAAACTCTAGACGGTAGTGCCAGAATTAGCACTCCGACAGACAAATTGGTCTTGTAGAAAGATTGGTGTTTCTTTCGGTTTCTTGAGGTTCAAGATTCTTCTCACATGCCTGTTTCTCCAGCCTCTCTCCTCCTTTTATAGAGTTACTCTCCTCGATCTTTACTCTATGCAGCTTAGCCTTTCATCATCATTCTGTCAGGGCCCATACCCCTAAGGGACAACCTGGTCCCACCTAATGAGTCCATGCCGACTCGCCCAACACATTCAGCTTTGTTGTTTGGCACAGGTACCCGCTATTTGGCGCTCCCCCATATTTTCATGCTTATTCAGACATTTATTCAACAATGACGTACTCCAGTGGGCTTTGGCCTTATTCGGCCCATCTTAAACGGGCTTGGATGCTTTATTGGCCATTTTTCAACTATATCCTCTTTTCGGCTCCCACAACAACGATTTAACGTGGAAAAACGACAATTGGACACCTCTAATTGTGACAAAAAAAATCACGGACTAAAGTCACAAAACAATCTACTAGGAAGAGAAAGGAATTACACATGAGAACTCTCAATTACCTAACGAATCTATGCCTGAATTGAAACAAACCCAATGTGCCTCTTCTACCACCGTCTTCACCTCAGAATTGCTTTGCCCAACATTGGTTCTACAGTGCCGATGTCGAATCCATGATGATGAGCCACTCCAGAATCGACCAAAGTTTCAGGCCCAAGTTCTTTAGAATCCTCTGAAGAACACCTCTCTCCTTTTTTGGAATGAAAGAACAAAACCAACCCTTGATGTTTGTCAATATGTAATTCGTTGATCAATCGATCACCTTTTATACATCAAGGAAACTCATATCTAAACACCCTCTAATATAAAATACTTAGTATTTTACCCCTCTCTGGTAATTTGGATGGGTTAAACCCTAAAAATAGCAAATAGCGCACTTTATACTAAACAGAGCAACAAAGATAGCTTGGGTTCAGAACACACGAAGAGATACTAGATGATACACTTCACTGCTCAAGCGCACGAAAGACCGCTCGAGTGGTCAAACAATTTCCTGTACATAATCAACGAAGTGGCAAACAGAAATGCTCAAGTCAAGATACAGAATGTCAACACAAACTTCTTTGAGCAGGTGCAACTCGGGTTAGATTCGCATTTAAACTCTCATAACTCACAGATACAGTAGAATGAGTAAAAAAACAACTGAATAGAGTTTCATCTAACGAGATTGCCAATTACAAAAACCTAACAAATTTAATTTAACCCAATGCACTTACCTAGGTGGAACACCAATTAATCGGGCAACTGAGTGTGGCTCCATATACTCAGTCATGTCAATCCGAATCAATATATTTTCTTTGCCACCCAGCTGTTCTGCAAGAGCCTTAGCAAGCTCAGTCTTCCCAACACCTGTAGGACCCAAGAAAAGGAATGAACCAGTTGGCTGCTGCTGCCTTCCCAATCCAACCCTTGATCTCAACATAGCTTCAGTTACCGCATTGACTGCTTGATCTTGCCCCACTACTCTTTGATGCAACTTGCCAGCAAGGCCATTCAACCACTCTTTCTCACTCTGGCCAAGCCTCATCATAGGTATGTTTGTCAAGTGACTCACTTCTTTTGCAATTTGTTCTGGTCCAATAATCTCAACCAACATTACATTTTCTTCTATGCTCCTTTCAAGCTTTGCAATTGCTGCCTCAATACCTTTAATTGGATAAGTTTTAGCATCATCAACATTACCTCTCTCTTCAGCTTGTAATGTAACCAGAACAAACTCTAGCCTCTGTTTCAGTTTGCGACGCTCATTAAACTTTTCCTTCTCCTCTATATACTTTTCCCTTAATGGTTGAAGTTTGATCATCAAATCATTAAGCTCTTTTTTAACCTAAAATAGTGGTTAAATTTCAGTTTCAAATGAAAAAAAAAAAAATTGCCATTAAATAGTAGTAATTGTCATCAAGAAATGTACTCACTTTAACAAGTTCAGCCTCACTAGCTTTGTCTTTCTCCTTCTCAAGAGCATGACATTCAACTTCTAACTGAAGTTTTTTCCTTTCAAGATTATCAATCTCTTCTGGTCGACTATTGAGTTGGACCTTGACATTTGCACATACTTCATCAACTAGGTCAAGTGCCTTGTCTGGCAAATGACGTCCTAAACCGGGGAAAAAATGCATATAAATCAGTATCTCTTATTCTAACAATAAAGTTATTAGCCTTCAAAATTCACAAACATGAGACCCAGAATAATAAAAAAACGACATAAACATATTGAACTACAAAATAATATCTACAAACCAGTAATATATCGAGCTGATAGTTGGGCAGCAGCCACAAGAGCTTGATCCTGAATTTTAACATCATGATGTCTTTCGTACCTCTCTTTTAGACCTCGAAGGATACTAATTGTGTTCTCAACACTTGGCGCGACCACATTAACCTTTTGGAACCTTCTTGCAAAAGCAGCATCTTTCTCCACATATTTTGTATACTCTAAAAAAGTTGTCGCCCCAATGCATCCAAATTGGCCCCTGGCAAGCATTGGCTTGAAAATGTTGGCAGCATCCATGGACCCTCCTTCAATTTGACCAGCACCAAGAACAAGGTGTATTTCATCAACGAAGAGTATAACTTTTCCTTCAGCTTCTTCTGCTTCCTTTAGAATTGCTTTCAACCTTTTCTCAAATTCTCCCCTATACTTTGTTCCAGCAACCAAGGCCCCCATATCTAATGCAAAAAGCCTCACATCATCAAAATATTTAGGAACATCCCCTTTAACAATTCTTTGGGCTAAGCCTTCAACCACTGCTGTTTTTCCAACACCAGGCTCTCCAATAATAATGGCATTGCTCTTGTTTTTTCTTGATAGAATACTAATAACCATATTAATCTCTTCATTCATTCCAATGACAGGGTCAAGCTTTCGAGCTTGCTCTATGAAGTCACAACCATAAGCCTTCAGAGTTTGAAATGTGGTATCTCCAGAAGGATCTCTCACCTTTTTTCCCTCCTTCCCATAAAGCTTCTTGACCTCTAATTTCACCCTTGAGGTACTGATCCCACTTCTTTCAAAAAGATCTTCAATTTCTGAATCTTCCAAAAGACAGAGAATCAACTGATCAATGGCTAAATGACTCTGACCATGGGACTTCGAGGATTGAGCCATGTTAATCACCCTACGTAGACTGTAACTTTCTGGGACATTGTTTTCCCGAGTGTTGTTTTTCAAAAAACCAATCTTTTTGGGTTGCTTCTCATTTTTAGGAATTCTGCAGGGAAGCACATTCATTTCTTGATTGAGGGCATTCCTAATTGAGTTTTCAGTGTCTTCACCCTGACTGGCATTGACAATTGCTTGCCTTAAGTTATTACAATCAGAGATCAATGCCACTACCAAATGAAGAGGCGTAGACTCTTCGTGGCCGGCATTCATAGCCAGTTCCTTAGCCTTATCAACAAACTTCCTTGTATTTCTGTCCAACTTTCCAAGTCCATTGTTGATATTTAAACCTGCAACAGAAAGAAAGAAATGTATAGTAAAAATACACATCTATGTGGTCATTCTAGAGTTTTAGTTTTATTTGTTTGTTGATTTGCTGAATCTGAGTGTAGAACCGACTCCTCTTGCTTCTATGAATTTTATGCACTATTGAAATATAAGTTTTTGATGTGTATTTTTAGGATAAATTACACTTTGCCCTCTTTATATTTGGCCATTTTCTCAATTTGACTCTTAAATATATATTTTTCTACTTTGCCGATTTATGTTTCAAGATTTTCTCAATTTACACTTAAAGCTTGCTTCTGTTAAATATTAGACGTAAAATAACACATTGACAATTATGTGACATAAAAATATTTTATTATATATAACTCACATCTGTAATACAAACTTAAACCCCATTATAATCATATATTTTTATGTTATGTGATAATTATTGTGACATTTTCTGTCTAATTTTGAACAAAAGTTAGCTTTAGAGTCATTTTAAAAAAAATAAATAAATTTTAAGAGACAAAGTGAGGAAGTGGCCTAACATAACAGGGTGAAAGTGTAATTTATCCTATATTTTTATTACACCCCTAATTCCCCATATAAAAACTAGGGCTTGCTATCATCCCGTGAGCTCGCCCAGTCCAATCTTATTATTTTAGAATTTAGGAATGTTATTTTAAATTAATTAATTAATTATAATATCTTAAAATATATGTTTTTTGCTGACATCTAAAATTTATCTTTGTTGATTTTGTTGAAACGCACATTTATAGTGATATGTGATTGCATTTATTTAAGAAATCCTTCAATTTATACACAAAATTTTCAATTTATAATGATGTCAGTATATTTATTTAATAAATATAATGTGTGATTGAATTTAATTATGGAATTGAGAAACACCATAGTTTTTTTTTTTTTGTTTGGGCTAAGTAATTACGAATTCATTAAGATCAATTATATAATTTAAAATTGTTCAATGTTTGAACTCAGCCAATTTGATATTGATGAGTCCCCAAAAATAAGAAAGTGGACTTCATGTTCTATTTTTTTCTTTTTTAAATGATTATTATGTTTTTACTATTTTTAATTATGTTTTTGTTTTATTCGTTACACAGTTATTGCTATTTTCTTTTTGGGGAAACATATTTGTACAGTTATCAACTGTGCGAATGTTTATAGATAGAAAATAGAGGTTAGACATATGAGAGGCATTTAATTAAAAAAATGCATGACCATTGCATTACCGGTTCGTGTAGTTTTCATTTCAAAAATTTAGCATAGGATTTATTACATTTTTGTACTCTTAAATTATCACTAAATTATTTATTTAATTCTTGAATTATTGATTAAGCTTATTAAGTTATTAAAGTATATAAATCAAAATCTATTTAGTATCTAAACTGTTAATTGAATCTATTAAATCTTTAAAATATTTAATTCAAACTTATTTAGTCACTGAAAGAATTATAAAATTAAAATGTAAGCCCATAAATATTATAAAGAAAAATTGGATCAAAAATCATTCACCATAAACTTTAAATGACAAGATAATTATACATTTTTTAATTTATAAAGACCCTGACTTAGTTTTTTTTATGATCTCAATGACGTTTTTTTTTTTTTTGTGCTAATATATGTGGAGAATTTTACCCCAATTTTATTTTTTGTAAGAGCTTCTCTAACGGTGTATCTTTTTTTCATTAAATTTGAGTAAAACCTTTGCTTGATATCAAGTGTTCCAATGGAAGATTTTGAATTTTCATCAAAACGCCGGTCAATCGGGCAGACAACCGAACGGATGTCTGGCCGGTTGACCGGCCAGTGTATTTTGTTCACAAATTTTTGCCTAGAGGTGGTCATCCGGTGGTGAAAATCTAATGCCTATGAACAGTGATTTGATGAAAGTTCATAGGCATCTTTAATTTGATGAAAATTTTTTGATATCCTCGATTTGATACTCATTTGATTAAACTATTAAAGCAGAAAAAAGATTATTTTTTCATCAAATTTAAATTTGATGACAAAATTAATGAACCATTGGAGATGATCTTACTAATGTTTTCATGTATTAACCACCAGCACATTCATGGTGTGTATAGAGATCTGTGCTTGGTTCCGCTTCCAATCTCCACTTGTTCAGATTGCTACTTATTGTTTGAATCTCGCTCCTTATTGTCCCATCATCGTTACTCTCTGTTCTTCATCGACCCTAATAATCACTAACATCTACTCTTTTTTTCATCACTCTTTCTTCATTGATCGATTTGGTATAGTTTCAGGTTCATTTGGTTTTTGATTGAGGTAGATTTGAAAGTTTGTTCGATCATTACTGACGACTTTTATATCTAGTTGTTGTGTTTCTTTTTGTAATATATACTCTATTTTTGGTTATTGATATCTTGTTTAGAATAGACAATAAAATTTTATTCTGATACTGTGTTTATGTCTGATTTGTTTGTGAACTCATACTAAAGATATGTTTTACAAATTGATTATTGTGTTCCAATTGAATGAATGAATAAGTTTTGAATTTTTATACTATTTGTTTGTTATTGATAAATTTGACAATATAATTTTACTCTTGTTTGCATTTTGTTTGGTGACAATTTGTTTATAAATGATTGTAAAATTTTACTGTGAATCACAGAAATATTTTACTGTGAAATAGAGTACAATTTTACTGTTTATGTAAAGTTCGATAGTAATTTTTTTTTATAAAGGATTTCATATGAACCTCAATCTTGATGAGAGGATTCTAAAAATATTAATTTTATTAAAAATCGATATCTAGATCAAAAGTTATATCATTTTAACATTTAAAATATTAAATTACTCACTAAGAATATTTTAGTAATAGTGATATGTATTAGACTTTTCAAGAAAAACTTTATGTGCTTATCCTTAATGCATTAAAGTTTATTATGAGGGAACTTTGATTAAATTCCCTTTTTGTAAATTAGTAAAAAGACCCTATCTAGTTAAAATTTATTTTAAAAAATACTTTAAATTTATATTCTACAGTTCGTATGGTAATTTTTTATTATTATTATTATTATTATTATTATTATTATAAGGATTAGAGTAATTATCTATAGGAATTTATTACTTATCTTCTACAATGCTTACGTGCTTACCTTTATCTACTACTATATGTCAGATTTCGTTTATTTATAGTTGATTATTTTTAAGTTTTTCTGATGTGTTCTTTTTATAACTTAATTAATTTATTATTTTATTCTATTATCATTTGTAGCTAAGTGTTATTTTTTAAATTATCTAATTATACCTTTTTAGTATATCTAACACTCATAATTTTATTGGCAAGATTGATAAATTAGACTCCAATACAAATTTAAACACACAATGAAACAAAACATTTTTTTAAAAAAAATTATGATTTTTCTGTAACAAAATATTAATTAGTTAGGGTTTTTTTTTTATTAATTTATAATACTTATGGGCATATTTTATTTTTGTAACCTTTTCAGAGACTAAACATGTTTCAATTAAATACTTAAGGATTTAATGGATTCAATCAATAATTTAGGAATTAAATAGACTTTAATTTATATATTTTAGGGACTTAGTAACTCAATCAAGAGTTAAGGGACTAAGGCCTGTTTGTTAGGGGTATATAAGGGGAGGATATGGAGAGGGACCAGATATAATATGAGGTTGGTCCCATCTGTTTTCTTATCTTCCTATATCTCGTGTTTGATTGCTCCGGATATAGAGAATCCGAATAGTAAAAGAGGGATATGCAATACCAACCCCCCATGGTATTGTATATCTTTACCATCGGATATAGGGAATCTTTCATCCAAAGGTCAAAAATAATATACTCTCTTCTTATCTCATCATATATCTTATCTTAACCAAATATAATATAAGTAATACCACAGTATATATAATCCATATCATATCCTACAACATATTATATCACATCTTTATCCTTAGATATTGCATATCCTCCTCAAACCCTTACATTAAATCCAAACAATCAAACGGTACCTAAGTAGATAATTTGGCGATAATTTAGGAATAGACGTGTAATAAATCCTTTAGCATAAAAAAAGTAGGAGAAATTACAATTCATTAGCCTTTTCTAAAAATAATTGCAGATTCATAAAAAAATTTATAATTTTAATTATTAATATTTATAAAAGTTGTCACTAATTTGTAATTAATATTACTTTTTTAAATTATCATTGATTTGATATTTCCTCAACAAAAAAAAAAAAAAGTATGTGAACAAGTTTATTCTCAAAATATTCACTCTAGATCTTAAAACCTCTCAATAATCTTAAATTTTCACTCTAAATATATTTTTTATTTTCATTAACATAAACATAGTTAGTATTTTCTTAGTTAGTTGTATAGGATAAACGGTTTAGATCACTGAATTGAGTTCAAATTAGTCTGATAATAAGTTAACTTCATCGTAAAATTAAAGGCATGTTTGGTTTGTTTCTCAAGACATTTTTGGAGAAAAAAATTTCTAATACATTGTTTTGTTGAATTTTTTTTATAAAAATTTCAAAATCATTTTTCTCTCTACTACATATCAATCAATCACTTTTTCTCTCTTCTCTCTCATTTTCAATAACTTTTTCTCTCACACAAATCTATTAAATTATAAAAAAAAATATCAAATCATTCTAAACTCCAAAACTATTTTTAAAATATACAACTAAATAAATTTTTAATTTTTTAAACTCTCTCTAAAAAATTATTTTTAAAATAATATCTCAAAATACAAAGCAAACAAGGCCTTGTTTGGATTGACTTTGGGAGATAAGTTTTTAAAAATTATTTTGTGAAGAGAGTTTAAATTTTTTTGTAGTTTGTTTGGTTATATATTTTGAAAATTGTTTTGGAGTTTGGGAGTTTGGGATGAGTTGATATTTTGTTATAATTGAGTAGATGTATATGAGAAAAAAAGTGATTGAAAATGAGAGATGAAAGAGAAAAAATAGTTGATTGATGTGTAGGAGAGAGAAAGTGATTTTGAAAATTTTTTGAAAAAAATTACAAACCAAACAAAATTTTCAAAAAAAATTTCCAAAATCTTTTTTTCAAAAAGACAAACCAAACAAGGCCTTTATTTCTAACAAATCCAGACTGGATCTGGAGCTCATTTTGGCAACAAGCTAAAAAAGTTAACTTTTTGACTTTTTAGCTTTTTAAGCCAAAAAAACCATTTTTTTTTAGTCAAAAGATGCCAGTTTTTTGTCAAAAAAGCCAAAAAAATAATTTTTACCAACTTCCTAAAACACTAAGAGCATCCACAGTGGAACTGCTAAGGAGAGTGTTAGTGTCAGTTGTTAAACTTATTTATTTTGATGATTTATTTAATTATGTTTTAATTTATTTGGAAGAGAAAAATAAAATCAAAATTTATTTTGTCCTATTATTTCTCACCTAAACCTTTATCCTAAATGTTGTCATAATTGATTTAATATTTAATTAAATCAGGAGTTCAAACAGCCCAACACAAAGGTTCAAACAGCCTAGCACAACAGCAGGCCAAAAGGTTCAAAAAGATCAAGTGGAAGATATTCAAATTAGTAATGATGAAAGTACAACGGCTATAAACGGCTATAAAAGTTCAAAAGGCCAAAAGGTTCAAGTGGAAGATATTCAAATTTGTAATGATAGAGTGAAAAATATTCAAATTGGTGATGATGGAAGTACAACGGTTATAAATTCAAATGATTACAACAGCTATAAACGACTATACACGGCTATAAATTCAAATAAATACAACAGCTATAAACGGCTATAATTTTCATGTTATGTACCAAAGCCTCTAATGTAAACAAGTTACAAAAAACTTGAAAATATTCTTTGATCTATAATCACTCACATCTATTCGTAGAAATTATATACTGAGCCTTATAGCATTAAGTTCATCTTTCTTGTGTGAGATTTACAGAAAAATCAAAGCTTCATTTTATATATCTTTCTTTGAGAGATATTTATTGTAAACTTTTTTTGAAAGCAAAAATGCCATTTCATCTTGTAAAAGTGCTGCAAACACTGTGTTCTTGAAATCTTGAGAGTGATTGTGAATCACCTAAGATTTGCAAGGGTTTGGACTTGTGAAGTCTGTGTAAAATCCGTGGAGGATTGTTCCATTTGTAAAGAGGTTGCTAGCACTACTGTGAAGCTAGAAGATAGTGAAAAATCTCAAATGAAGCTTGAGGAGTGGACGTAGGCCGAGTTGAAACCGAACCGCTATAAATTTGTTTGTTTCTCTCTCCCTTATCTCTTTATTTTATTTTAAATTGTCATAACTATATTTCACATTTTTACTGTGCTAAAATCATTAACTGACATAGTTGTTAAGACACTTGTTCAATTATTTTTATTTCATTAATTATATTTATCTATTGTGCTAGTCATAATTTTTATTAGACTATTATTAATTTTAATTGTAAAAACATAATTCACCCTCCCTCTTGGGTTGTTTTTTGGGTAACATCAATTGTTAAGTTTTAGTTAGCAAGGTTTGTTGTTTGGTGCTGCAGTGGATATGTTAAGGCGTGTGTTAGTGGTGTGTGTTAATATGTTTGTTATCTGCAGCGATCGTTTTAGCCAGCAAAAGAGGGTGTTTTTTTGCTCTTACCGGTTGTCGGTTGACCGGTCAACGATAATTTTTTTTTATTTTTTTTTTCTTTTACTTGTAGGATTTTTTTTTAGCCTTGAAATTTAATTTTGGACTTGAAATTTTTGATTAAACTAAATTATTTATTTAGTTTATTTATTATATATATATATATATATATATATATATATATATAACACACTTTAATACACTCCTTAACACATCTATTGCACCACCACTCACTCTTTAAAATTAACAAACTCTTAGGCCTCGTTTTGGAACAGGCTAATTTAGTAACTTTTTGGCTATTGGCTAAAAAGGTAGGTAAAAAAAACTTGTATGTTTGGGATGACTTTTTAGCTAATTATGAAAAAATGTGCAAAAAGTAGAGAAATTTTTTTTTTTGACTTTTTGGTATGAGTTGTTGGCTTTTTGGCTAATTTAATAACTTTTTGGCTAATTGACTAAAAAAGTAAATCCCCAAACGGGGCCTTAATATATCTTAACAAATATTTTTAGACTCCACTTTTATCATTTTTTATCATATTATACATATCTGAATACACTTTTTTAATCATTCCATTGTGGATGCCTAATAACGTAGTGCATGGAATTATTGAATAATTTCACGCTTCCACTGTTTCTACTTTGAACCTGCCATCCAACCAATCTCTCTTCCCCCACTACCCATTAAAAAAAAAAAAAAAAAAATTAAAATTTAAAATCTAAAAAGAAAAAAGTCAGAAGAATAAAAAGAGTTCATTGATTGATACCTGGCACATTGGCAGGAACATAGCCGCTCTCATCCAAAGTTTCATGTCCACCCATGGATGATCCCTCCTGCCTCTGTTGCTCTTCCTCTTGAAATACGGTATCCACTTTATTTGAATTCATCTCTGTTTGATTTTTCACCAATGTTCTAGTCAATCATTTGTTTGGTGTAATTTATTATAAATTAAAATTTAATAATTAAAATGTAAAAATTAAATATGTATTAGGTCTTTTTTGAAAATTATTTTATTTTTAATTTTTAATTTATATTTATAAAAATTTTAAAAAATTATTGTTTCTTAGTAAATTTTTTGATTTATAAATAACTGAATTTGTAAATTTGATAAAAAATTGTAAACTCATAAAAAGGGTTACCGTTGGTTTTTAAACTAAGTAAATCAAACCATACTCTCTCTCTCTCCGCAGCTCTTCTCTCCCCATCACTTTCTCACAACCACTTCCCCTCTACCGCCGCGGCCTCTCTCTCTCTCTCTCTTCTTTCTCCTCTCTACCTCCATTAACGCCGACACCACCACAACTCTAATGCCACCGTCGACCGCGTCTTCTCCATCGACTACACTGTCGTCGGTCGCTCTCTTCTCCTACGCCTCTCTCTCTCTCTCTATTCTAAACACCCACCGCACCACCTCTCTATCTTCAGATCTGGACTCTACCGCCTCAAATCTGGACTCCGCCGTCTACTCAGATCTCTCATCCTCCATGCTCGACTCCAACGCGGGCGAGTGATGGATCTTAGAGCTCCGAAAGCGACAGCTCTAGATCCATTACCGCAGCTCCAGATTCGTTGCTCTTCTAAGGCTTTGATGGCGTCGGAGTATGATCGGGAAGAGACGAGGATGAGAACGACGGAGGACACGGCGGTCCGCTGCGGAACCGGTCGTGACTGGTCCGGTTCAACAAAGAGACATGTTTTTAAAATTTTTTAAATATTTTGCCCAGATCAAATACAATTATAGTTTATATTTTTTTTTAAAATAAATAAAAATTAATTTATAAAAATTTTATAAACATAAATATTACCAAACACTACCTAAATAATTAATTTATCTAAACAATTTTGATTATAAATAAAAAATTATACCGAATAACTTAATACTTTCAAATAAAAATAAGTTATAATGAGTACCTGCAAGAAACCCAACTGAATCTAGAGAAAGAGGAGAAGATGTAGGGAGAGATGCCGAGATTACACCAAATAACTTTATACTGTCTGTTAGAAATTGGGCGCCCATGTGGCATGACCCTTAGAACCTTTTGAACCTCATCCAAATGGGTTTTGAATTTTGAATTCAAACCTATTTATACCTGTAAAAAATCAAGTTGATCGAATATCATAAAGTATGTGTTCGGAAAACTGTTTATTAAAAAATAGTTTGTAGTCCCAATTTTTTGAACGCATACTTTCTGATATCCGATCAATTTGATTTTTTACAGGTATAATATACTGAATAAATCTAAAAATATGAACGGTTCGAATTATCAAAACTGGGCTTCAAAGTGGACCCGAAGGCCCCTGCAAGGAGGGAATGAAGGAGGGGGCTCAAGGAGGGGATCTGGGCTCATAATGAGTAGCTGCAAGAAACCCAACTGAATCTAGAGAAAGAGGAGAAGATGTAGGGAGAGATGCCGAGATTACACCAAATAACTTTATAGTGTCAAATAAAAAAAAGTTATAATGAATTCATTTACCTGCAAGAAAGCCAACTAAATTTATACAGAGGAGAAGATGTAGGGAGAGATGCGGAGATTTTGAGGGAGGAAAGGGCTTTGATTTCAACGACATATCTATTTATACTAGAGCTGTTAAGACGTGCGCCATGTGCGACACATTTATTTTAGAAAAATGACTTAGATCCTCCGTGGGGTGCTGGGGTCTTTCTTGATTGGCTAAAAAAATTATTATTATTATTATTTTTTTGGGTTTCAGCCAGTGGCAGGCTGCCACGTGGTACTGGGAGTCACTGGGGGTACCCCAGTTGGGGGTCGGAAGCACTGCTGTTTATTTTAAGGCATGGCTTTGGTCTAGTTCAAGATCGGACTGGACAGTGTTGTTGGATCTGTGGAAGTTTGCCACAGGTTTCGTTTTGAAAATATGAACCGTCAATGTGTAGAAATCACGAGTACTATATGCCTGTAAAAAATCACGTTGATCGGATATTGATAGCTATGTGAACAAAATAGTTTTTTTATCAACCGTTAATTTTTTTACCGTCCATTTTTTTTATACAAAACTGATTTGATCACATAGCTATCGATATCCGATCAACATGATTTTTTACAAGCAAATAGTACTCGACGAGTTCTACATATTGAACGGTTCGGATTATCAAAACGGGTCCAAAAAATGGGCCCCATGGGAAGAACTGGATGGGTCCAGTCTTGATCTCAACTTGAGACAAGCTGGACCCTTATTTTAAACCATTAGATATTTATAAATTAATCTCGGCCATTAAATAATTTGATTAGAAATCTTGAGCACCTCATCAACCGGTTACGATTTTGACAAATTATATGTACCAATTGTTCCCTTTCCACAAACCCTCTTCATTTTCCCAAAATGCTTCTGTTTTTCAAACATGACTTGAACGCTCATCTTCGCCCTCGAAGACTATCCCGCGAACACGACTTGCCCTCGACTTCGCCTCAAGGTATGTCTCTCTCTCTCTCTCTGTCTCTGCAACTTTTTTCTCTCCCTTTCTCCATCTCCATCTTATGAAACAGTAGTTCAAAATCCCCTTCTTTGAAACTGCCCCTTTCACCTTTGTAAACTCACTAGGTTGGTTTATAAAGTAAGGTTATGTTTGTTTGCTTTGGTAGTTGTTTTGATTCCCTTCTTCGAAATCCTCTTTTGTTAACCCCTATTTCGTTTATCAATTCTTGTTTCTCATTCTTCAAAACTGCATCTTTCACGTTTGTGAACTCACTTAGAGTGGTTGGATTCTAAATTTTGGAAAATATGATTGTTTGATATTTGTTTGATTTTGTAGTTTTGACTCCATATATATAGATATATCTTGAAATTTTGCTTGAGTTTGTGTAATTTGATGTGTGGGTAACTGAATTTTGTACTCATGTAACTGATACGAGACTGCAATTATTTGTTTATTAAAATCTATTTATGTTTCTAATTCTTCGTTTCTTCTTATGTTATACTTCTAGTAATGGTGCTTTTGGGTTATGGTTGAATGTAATATTTCCCTTATGGATTAATAGTTGCATATTTTACCTCTACATTTGAGGATTTTTATTGATTGACATAAAATTCTTCTAATGATTGGATGCTGCTGATGCATTATCTATGCACATATTATTTTAATATTAAATTTATATTTCTTTGGAATTCTATCAGATTGAGTAGGTTCTTATTATCATTCAACTCAAAGTAATATATAATGAATGGAGAAACCAATGACTTTCTATATAAGTTTAGGGGGGAAAAATCATTCTTTATTACACCAACAGATGCCCAACTTAACCAATGTATAATATCAAAAAATCCAATGGCTTTATATTGTCTAAGAGGAAGAGGAAGAGTAAGAGATAAAGGATTTATAGAACAGTGATACACGACAAATCACGTTACTAGAGAAAACAAAATTGAACAGATAACAAAAAAAAAAAAATCAAACCAATTGATGGATTTCTTTAAGTGTTTAAACTGAGAAGCTTGAGGGAAAAGAGAATTTATTGAATCGCTTGATCTCAATCAAAACTTCAAAATAATCTCTGAAATAAGAGCTTGAAGTTGTATCTTTGTGAGCCTTGATGCGTAAAGCCAGTGTTTTAAAAGGCACGCTTATGCGCGAGGCGTAACCTTGTGCTTCGAACAGATCGAGGCGAGGCGCAACATGCAAGGCACAGCTTAGGCGCTAAGATGAGGGCTTTTTTTCGAGGCGCAAGGCGTGGGCTTCATGGGCTTTACCCATTTTTCTACTCAAATTGTTGATTAAGTGCTTTTTTTGTGGACATACCCACAGGGATTTAAAACTATTCAATATAAAATGACCAAATGTAGTCAAAAGAGAGCAAAAAGTGATAAAAAACTGAATGTTATACTTTATATCTTTTGTTGGATATTATATTTCTAATTTTTAGAACATTGAATGTTATGTTTAGAGATTATCGAAAATGGTTATGATTTTTTAAATATTATATATATATATATATATATTTGTTATGTTGAAAATTTTGCTTATTTTATAATTTTGCTTTTCTTCTACTACTTGAGCTTCGCTTTGGTGAGGTGCGCGCTTCGCTCCGCGCCTCGCGCTTAGGCTATGGGAGACCTTATTGCATCGGTGCGCCTAGAGCCTTTTAAAACACTGCGTAGAGCATACTTGATGTGAGGGAACGTGGAAGGATCAACACGTAGTTGAAATGCTCGATGATTCTTCAAGAAAGTATTGAGAGTTTTTGGAGATAATTAAATTAGCATTTAATTAATTTAAATTTCTAGAAAAAATCATTGTCAAATTCTGAACTACAGTAATTCTAAATATTCCCCCTATTGATATATGTACCTGCCTATCTAGCATACACTTTATTTTGATCGGCTGCTTATCGGCTGCTTATCTAGCATACACTTGAGTCATGTCTAGGATGACTCTTGTTTCATTTACGAAAGTGTTCCAATTCTTTGTATACACTACTTTTATTGAGGGCTTCCTACATTTCTGAAATTATATTGTTTGCAGTAATCTTTTGATATTGAAATTTAAAGTAATGATGTTTGTATAGCATATTCTTTTAATAACAGATGCATAAGAAGGCAATTTAAATGTTTTACCTAGAAAATTAGTTTTCCTTACAAGCTGTTGGATCCTTGACTAGGATCTATTTCAGAATCTATTTTGTAAAATATTAGAATTTAACAATTATTAGCTGTCATTATTATCATCATCAATGATCTTGATAATAAAATTCTGGAATTTTATTAGAGTATGATTTTTATGATGCTCAAATGAAAACATTAGACTTTCAAAAAGGTTTTATCAAGATTAGAAAACCCAATAACAAGAATCAAATAGTCGACCTAGTTAAAAGCAACTCATCTTCCTCTTTGACAGAGAAAAGTATTAGGAATTAAACGAAGTTATGATTTTTAAGTAAACAGCAATTCTACATAATCAGAAAAAATACTCGGAAAAATGTCTACAATTTTAAATGGGTGGATCAAATTGATATAGGGTGTGGTCCACATCACATGAAGTTAAATTTATATCATACATTCAAATTGTAGGCACTTTTCTACATACATATCATTTATGTTAAGCAAGAATTATAACCAAAGCCATAGTTGCTGCCATTTATAGTTACTTACTGTATGATGTATAACTTCATGTGAGTATGATATATGGACTGATTTTGGCTCAAATAATTTGGAAAATACACTCCCACATTTTTATTTTATTTCAAATTTGTGTGGAAAATAATACAGTGGCATAAACTTCAAAGAAAGAAATACAAATTTTGACATAAACAGCTATTAAAATACAACTTTTTTGCAAATATGCTTATACTATCTAAACTACAACTTGTACTATTAAATAAGACAAAAAAAGAAAGAAAGAGAGAAAGAAAGAAAGAAATGTGCTTTGCTTTTATGACGCTGAAAACATCATATTTCCTTAATGTTATGTTTGGATCATGGATTTAGCTAAGGATTTGGAAAAGGGAAGGGAATAAGTGCGTGAAATGCAATCATATTTAATTCACATTCCACCTACATTTTCCCTTTTTCGTTCAAATCTCCACTCAAATCCATGATCCAAACACAGCATAATGGTTCTATAAAGATAAGAAAACCCAATAACAATAATCCAAATAATAGTCAAATAGATGAATAGGGCGGATACCGAGTTATCAAAAAACTAATCTAATAGTCCATCAAATTAAAAGCTAAACTAGTACGAAATTAACCAAGTTACGATCTGTCAAATAATCCAATAGTCCATCCAATCAAATATATATATATATATATATATTTTTGTAGATCTTTTATTTTTTATCTTTTAAGTGGTCAATCGGTTGGTGTTGGTACATTTGTTTAAGTGTTTATGTAATGGTTATTGATACTTTGAACAAAGGTAGTACAGTTTCCTCTCTGTTATTGGTTATGCAGTTTGTTAATGTGAAAAGATGTGTAAAATAATATTTTTCATACATAGATTCTTTCTTTTCGCCCCATAATCATAAATCTCCTTAAGTATTGTCTTCTTTGCTAACTCAGTTTCGATGTTCTGTTGTTGTTTGTCACAGGTCCTCAATTTCTACATCTTAATGTAGAAGTAAACCTATACCTCCCCCCTCCATCCCTAGCAGTTGCATTGGTAGGTGTGCTTTTTAATTTATTTACTTTTAATTAATAGTAGGGCACTGTCGGGTGTGTTTTTTATTTATTTGTTTATTTTAATTGATAGTAGGATACTTGCAAGAGTGTTTTATTTATTTATTTTCTTTGAATTAATAACAGGGCACTGGTGGGTGTGCTTATTTACTCATTCGATTTTAATAATTAATATTTGATAGCAGGGCACTGGCGGGTGTACTTATTTATTTGTTTGATATTAATTTATAGCAGGGCACTGGCGGGTGTATTTTTTTGTTAATTTGTTTCATTTTAATTGATAGTAGAGTACTTACAGGTGTGTTTTTATTGCTATTATTACTTGCATTCAATTGATAGCAAAGCATTGGTGGGTGTGCTTATTTGTTCTTTTTCTTTTAAAATTTGATAATTGAAAGCAACTGGTATAGGTATCTGTCGAAGTAT